TTTATTGCTTTGTTTTTGTACAGTAATATGTCGATTAATGAAACTAGATGATGATGATGATTAACAGTCAACCAGATGTTACTAATTCGAATTTTGGACCTTCAATAATCCAAAAATCTAGGAAGCAATGTGGTATCCCCAGATATTGTAATGTGATATGTAACTTTGTGTTTTTCTCAGAAAAATGAGTTGATGACTATACTTATGTTCTGCTGACTATATTTATGTTCCCATAGGCAACTAATTGACCAATGTTTGAAGATAATGTTGGCTCTGATAATTGTATTGTCTAATCCAATATGTGATCTTCTTAATGGTCCTGTATTCTTACCTTCATTGATTACCTATTCATACTGCACCCACCTACCTGGGAATAAGCACTCAGTGGCATTGACTTCTGAATAGGCATGTCTTGTCTAGGTTTGAATAGTGAATTTGTAAAGTGGCATAGAACTTTCACTGTGCTCTTCTCAACAACCCATATGGGTCAGGCCACTATTATTCCCAATTACAAATAGAGAACAATGAGCATGGTTTCAGATTTCAGCAGGATTGTTATCTATGCTTTCGCAAAGGTGTGTGTGTGAAGGGCAGGGCATTATTGAGATTCTCCACAAGGTTTAAAGTCCATCTGGTAAACATATTCCTTATTAAATTGCAAACAGCAGTTTATTTCAGGAACATGAGTTGTATAAAAAGCTGCCACTGCTTTTTTTATACCAAGTGGTTTGGACTCCAATTTAGAGGAGTGAAACTGGGCAGGGTGAAACAGATTTCTCAGTTTCTCATTCCTCACAGCAGGCTCCCTAAACTCCCTAAATGAGAAGGACTCTACTGAAGGAGGTAGCTAGCTGTGGTGGCATGGGACCTTCATTTCTTCACTCAAAAAACAAAACAGAAAAAATAAACAGAGGCATATTTTGTGAATAGAAAGTTTCATTGCCTAGTTTTGGGTAAACTCCCCTTCTTACCACTCAGGCCAGGTCTTACCATTTCACAAAGTGAGGTAGATGCCTCAGATAACCAGTTTATCTGACTGTAGATTGCTAAGGATAAGAACAACTGTCACATCTTCCAATGTCACAAATCAAAACTGGGACATGATGTCTCAGGCAACTTCAGAGGGTGCTCAAGATGGCCAAAGTTATTAATAAGGAAGGATTGAACTCTGGTCTCTTGGAAGCCTAGTCCAGCATTCAGATCAAGCAGTTTGCTTTTGCCTGAATCTAAGGAAAGAGTAATATTCTGCCTCCATTCTCCTCTCTCTACTAAGTTAATAGAGTGAAAACTACTTTTGCACATTGAAATCACTTGCAGCAACTGAAATAAGCTGAGGGAAAGGGGGAGGGGTGAGAGAGGGAAAGAGAAACTGAGATATTTTAAGAGCAGATAAAAAAGTAGGATGACAAAGGATTAATTGGAACTGGCCCTGCCCGTTTGTGACAGTTGGTTGGGATGAGATGTTTGTGGGATTCTCATGCCAGAATAACTGGTTTAGGGGTACCATTTGCTGCTACTCCTCAGGCAGCAAAACTATTTCAGTCGGGTTGTGAAACAAAATGGATTAGGCTGACACCACAGTTTGTTTCATTCTGCAGCATCCTCTGACCCCTTGGTAGTTTCAGGGAAGGGGCCAGTGGAGCTCAACCAGCCAGTATAGGGCAGTAGTTCAAATTCATAAGATTAAGAAGATTTTATACAACCATGAAGAGCCTCTCCATGTCATCCTGAAATTACCTCCCTGAGGTTGAGGGATGACCTAAATAGACACACAATAAGCCCACTGAAGGATAAAGACATATGGATGGGTTATAGCAGAGTTTCTCAAACTGTGTTCTCCCAGATGTTTTGGACTTCAGCTCCCACAATTCCTAACAGCTGGTAAGCTGTCTGGGGTTTTTGGGAGCTGAAGTCCAAAACACCTGGAATACAGTTTGAGAAACACTGGGTTAGAGCAAGTGGATCATGGAGCAGATTTTTTCCTCCTGTTCTATGAACTCTCAGTGGATGGTAGATTCAGGGCAGATAAAAAAAGTTGGTGACACAGTATGCAATTAATGCATGGAATATGTAGCTATGAGATGTGGGGTGAGTCTGGTTGATGCAGATATGATTGAGCTCTATGGTCTAACTTAGTATAAAGCAAATTATACTAACTTAGTATAAAGCAAATTTCTATGTCCCTATGCCCCATACACACATCCTGTAAAGTGAACCTGTGTCATACAGATGTGCAGCACAGACCAGGATTAGACAAGGTGGGGATCATTGCAACGTTTTTGTTGTAGCTTTGACTTTTTCTGTTGTGTTTTTACCTTCAAGTTGTTTTTCTTTACCCACTGTAACAACCTCCAAGCTATTGGCTGTAAAATTGGTCGGGAGGCAAATCTTCTTTGGCATTTAATCTGAATGTTAAGATTTTCAAGGTGCTCAAACCTATTCCCAAGTTCAGCACCTTGGGCAGTTCCCTGATGGCTCAGACTAAAAAGTGGAGCAGCCTTCTTCATGGTTTATGTTGGCAGCTTCTAACTAAGAGTGATTCTAGTAATCAGTTTATTATGTCCTAAGTGACAGCTGCCTAAGTCTTTGTTAGAGCCAGCATGATATAGTGGTTGAGTGTTTGGATTAGGACTCTGGCAGACCGGATTCCAACCATGGAAACTTGGGCAAGTTACACTCTTGAAACCTAAGAGAAAGGCAATGGCAAACCCCATTGGAGCAAATCTTGTCAAGCAAAAGCTCTATGGGTGGTTTGCCATAAATCGGAGTCAACTTGGAGGCACATAACTACAACAAATCAATATGATGTTGAGGGCTTTCATGGCCAGAATCACTGGGTTGCTGTGAGTTTTCCGGGCTGTATGGCCATGTTCCAGAAGCATTCTCTCCTGATGTTTCATCCACATCATAGAATGTTTCTGGAACATGGCCATACAGTCCAGAAAACTCGCAGCAACCTACAACAAATCACTTTGCTTCTGTAGTAACCCATTTTATGTGGACTGCATAGTGGGTTTCTCTCATAAATTCGTACTCAGATTTTTAGATTTAGCATTTGAATCATGACATTATAGAGTACAAAATAACAATAAAACTACATCTCAACTTCTAGTACTTCACTTTTGATTTTGGTGTATATTCTGTGTGGTAGGTATAGCTACTAGGTCAGCCCTAATGGACCACATTAAAGCACTGTCTAGTCTGGCAGCAATTGGGTAGTTTTTTTGAAAAAAATTAAACACAGATCTTCTCACTCTTAGCCAACTTCTCCACCCAGAATTTCCTAAGAAACCCACTTAAGGTTTTCAGCACTTTTAAATGTTAAACAAGATGTTCAAGTCTTTTGGTGTGCTTTGCTCTGTTCTCCAGGTTTTTTCTCCCACTTAAAAAAACAGAGTTCCATTAATCCAATTGCAAACACATGGCATTTCATGGCAAATTATTACAACAGTTGTTCCAGGTTTCCTATTCAGAAATGTGATGGATTTTAGAATAGATTTTAAAAAAATTATCAGGTTCTCCAACTCAGATTTTCAAAGCCTTAGATTTGAGGTATGCTGCATAAGTAACTGAAGTTGTTTTATTGCGACAGATCAATCATATCATGTTTGCAGAATGGTTCCTCCTTTAGGTCTGAAATAACAACTAGCAGCCTGTTGGTGAATAAAGATGATATCAGTAGACATTTGCAATTGCAACTCACTCTTTTTGGGTCTTGTAGAAGTCAGAGTTCACTATATGATGACCAAAATCTCCTCCCAAACACATCTTTTCTGAGCCCCATGAACCCATCCCAATGCAGGATCTCAGCCACATCTCTACTTCCCATCTGAAAAATCTCTAGGGTTTATTGTGCTTATCTTTTCACCTGATCTCTGCATTCAAATCTCAACTCAGCTATGATGTTTACATCATGACCTTAGGCCAGTCATTACCTTTCAACCTAACCTACTTCCAGGGTTGTAATAATCCAAATTTCCACTGAAGTAAGATACTTGCAGAGGAATTAACATTCTGTTCTCTGCATGTTAAATTATCAGATACTGAAGGGGATGATCTGGACCTTTCCTTCTCTATTCATAGAAAAGAAGAGTCCATGTCATCCTCTTTGGTATCGCTCCAGAAGAACTTGGAGTAGAACCACCAGAATCCTCCATCTAGTATGGCCACTGGTCCTAATGGCTGGGAATTAGAGAGTAAAACAATAATTATTCAAGGCTCTACATCCAGCAAGGTTTGCCAAATCGTTTCCAATAACTTGGCCTAGCTATAAATATGTCTAATGTGAGTTTAGACTTTGCTCCATCTGCCAAGGATCTGTATTGGGACCTTTTTTAAAATTCATTCATATTCAAACAACCACAAACAGTCAAGAGTCAGGATCAGGTCACCTGGGAGATGGGATTACACTATTAGTCTATAGGAATGTTTTAGTTTTTTAATCTCACTGCAGATGCTAGATAACTGCAGGCAAAGGCCAAGATGCTGGATTAGTTATTAAGTTAAGTATATTTAACAAAGTAGAATTTCTTAGCCTCCCCACCACCACCACCACACACACAATCTGATTTACCACAATGCCATCAACTATTGTGAATAATGGGGATCTGTTCTCCTATCAACCAGGGCACAACCAACTGATATTTCTACCTTCCTCCCACAAGTGTTCACTAATGTAGCATTAAGAAGAAGGATCCTTGCCAAAATTCCTCTTCGCACCAAAGAGGAGAGTGGAAACATCAGTCTGCTGCACCCCGATAAACAGGAGAATACCACCACCACCCACAGTGACTGATGCCTGGTGAACTTTTATGATCTCTACATATTCCTTACGCTACTTGGTAAATAGGGGCCACGAATACAAATCACTTATGAATGCATAGCTCAAGGTTGCACATTTGTAACTGGATTCATGAATTACAGCCAAAGTCTGGGAATAGATGGTGCACCAGGTCTGGCCACCAGATGTTTGACCAAATTTTGTTTTGTTTCTCCTGCAGGAGCTACTGTGCATATGTGGTGCATAGGAATGTGACATGCACCCTTCAGGATGGAGTAGAGAGCTATGTGAAAGCTGAATATCACAAGTGCAGCTGGGGACCCAAGTGTCCTGGAAAAGTCCTGTAAGTAGATGCTGTGATTGAACTCTTGCTTGGTGGAAACTACAGAAGACTGTGAGTTTCTTTTGACTTGATTGAAAGAAACAGTAATCCCTAGGGCAAGAGTGGGGTGGTTGCATCCCATGTGCTGCAAAAAGTTTTGTTGCCCACCATTAGTGCCTCCTAATATTATTACCCTCTCCATTGGTGTGGGATGCAATTTTGGCACATTCCACCCTCCTACCCCCCAGTGTTATTCTAGGAACAGGAGAGATTTTTTCCACCAGAGAGAAATAAAACATTAGAAGTATAAAGTAAACAGGAAAAGAACCAGAAGTGAAAGACTTTTCGGGGGTACAGGGTCCCCAAAGGGGAGGGCACTTTTTTTACTCTCATCTACAACAACTCATCTACAATTTCAGAAAAACATCTTTTTCTGTTTTATTGACTATTCTAAAACCTTTGACTGTATGGATAATAATAAATTGTGGCAAGTTCTTGGTGGTATGGGCATACCAAGTCACCTTGTCTGTCTCCTGAGGAATCTGTATAATGACCAAGTAGCAACAGTAAGAACTGACCATGGAACAACAGACTAATTCAAGATCAGGAAAGGCGTACGGCAGGGTTGTATACTCTCACCCAACCTATCCCACTTGTATGCAGAACACATCATGCGATGTGGAGGGCTTGACAAATGCAAGGCTGGGGTTAAAATTGCTGGAAGAAACATTAACAACCTTAGATATGATACCATTTTGATGGCCGAAAGCGAGGAGGAGCTGAGGAGCCTTCTATCCAAGATGAAAGAAGAAAGTGCAAAAGCTGGGTTGCAGTTAAACATAAAAAAAACCAAGATTATGGCAACAAGACTGATTGATAACTGACAAATAGAGGGTGAAAACGTGGAGGCAGTGACAGACTTTGTATTTCTAGGTGCAAAGATCACTGCAGATGCAGACTGCAGCCAGGAAATCAGAAGACGTTTACTTCTTGGGAGGAGAGCAATGTCCAATTTTGATAAAATAGTTAAAGCAATTGTATTCCCCGTAGTCACCTACGGATGTGAGAGCTGGACCATAGGAAAGGCTGAGCGAAGGAAGATTGATGTTTTTGAATTGTGGTGTTGGAGGAAAGTTCTGAGAGTACCTTGGACTGCGAGACCAGTCCATACATCAGGAAATAAAGCCCAACTGCTCATTGGAGGGAAGGATATTAGAGGCAAAGATGAAGTACTTTGGCCACAACATGAGTAGACAGGAAAGCTTAGAGAAGACAATAATGCTGGGGAAAATGGAAGGAAAAAGGAAGAAGGGCCAACCAAGGGCAAGATGGATGGAGGTTATCCTTGAAGTGACTGGCTTGACCTTGAAGGAGCTGGGGGTGGTGATGGCTGACAGGGAGCTCTGGCGTGGGCTGGTCCATGAGGTCATGAAGAGTCGGAAGCAACTGAACGAATAAACAACACCACAACAACTCTTGTGTATCAATCATCCTGATAAGTAATAGCCAAATATTCTGTTAACCTGACAACCTCTTTCTTCTGCAATTATTTCCCTACTGAATTGGTTCATATCATTGTCTTCTTTGGTGTCTCAGTGACCCTTAGTCACAGACTTTATAATTGGAAGGCAGCTCCTGAGTCTATTTTCCTCATACACAGGGTCTGCTATTTAATGCAACCTTTTTGTTCAAAACAGAAGTGAAAAACTAGAAGTTTTGAAAAACTCTGGAGATGCTATTCACACACTCAGTCAAGGGCCTGCAACTTGTTTTCAAGGAGGAGTATTATTACTCCTCTGCTGTAGGTTTCCAGGAGTAGAAATTTTCAATCAAAATTTTGGGAAGCACTATGGGGCCAAAGTTCCCAAGCTCTGCTCTTGTTACATATGAAAACTTCCACAAGTGATTTTATAGATAGACATATAGACAGGCAGGCAGTTTGATAAATTCACCCAAATAAATTGTTTAGATATTTGTGTGGCGATGATGTTGTCTTTGAGCCTTTATAAGGATTGAGGATGTAACACTTCATTATTACCATTCTTGTAGAAAGTAAAGGTCCTTCCACACAGCCATACTACCCAGAATATCAAGGAAGAATAACCCACAATATCAGCTTTGAACTGGGTTAATTGAGTCCACACTGCCATATCTCCCAGTTCAAAGCAGATAATGTCAGGTTTTATTCAGCTGTGTGGAAGAGGCCAAGGATGTACTTTTAGCATTTTCCTCCACTTCAAGATAATCTATAAAAACGGCATACTTTTCTAACACTGTTGAAATTTATGCACAAAATGAATACATGGCATTTTAAAGTGTAAAACAGCATTTTCTTTACATAGAGGTTGTTTTTATATAGAAGGCCCTTCTACATAGTCAGATAACCCATATATCAAGATGGACAATCCTCAATATCTTCTTTAAACTGGGTTATCTGAGTCCACACTGCCATATAACCCAGTTCAAAGTAGATAATGTTGTTCCATGGTCAGCTGTGTGGAAGGGGCCAGAGAAGTACTGTTTCCTCCACATAAAATGCTGTATTCGGGTACATTCTACTCAAAATTTGGACATTCCTTGCACATAAATGCATGATTTTGGCACCAAAAACACCTTAAAATTTGCACAGAACTGGAAAGATTTTCTGCAGTCTAGGATTTTTCTTGTCAGATTTTTCCAATACTCTTTCCATCCCTAATGATGAAGTGCTACATTTCAGCATTTTCCAGTATTCTATGTATGCAACTTCAGAAAGTGAAGTACCTGTTTCAGGTGATATGAAATCCTCTTTGACCACAAATTCATATTAGAAAAATATCTCTATTATGCGAACTATGAAGTTTGAACAAAAATGCAAGTTTTTGAGATCTCCAGAGCTTTTTGTCTGGCAATATAGTACAAAAGATGGTGCTGGAAGCCTTGTGAACAGAGGCAGCCAGATTATATTTGTTGCTTATAGTATATGAGACTTAATTTAGTGCAAACCAGGCAACAGCTTCCCATGCTCCCCTTGGCAGCTTTGCTTCCCTATGTCATGCTTCTAAGTGACAGAAGCCCTCGTATATATCACTCTCTTTGAAAGTGGAAAGGCTCTTGCTGTGGCCTCCTTCCAACAGAGACCCATGCTAGCCAACTGTCCAAAAGCAGTTCCGCATGACTGTGTATTTCTTGGAAGCAGACCCAAATATAGCATAAATCTTTCATATGGTATGGACAGGGTCCAAGAGCCATGCATGGAAGGAGAGTAGCCTTCAGTAGCAACGGACAGTTTCTGCAGTGCTGTCACCAGTGGTGGGTTCCCTGATTTGGCTGATATAAGAGAATGTGCTGGCAGAAGAACATCTTCAGAATTAATTTTGCTTTTCTTAGGCTCCAGATCTAAGATGACCTTTCACTTAATAGATGTTCTATGTATGCAGAAAAAACCCTCTAATTATAGCCAGGGCTTGAGCAAAATACTCTATGAACTCCCAGAATCATCAAGCCAGCATGGCAGATTTTTTTGCACTTGTCATCCAATGGTTATGATGATGACAACAAAAACAACAATGTTTCAAAGTTCTGGATCCAACTCCATATTTCAGGGCTTCTCGTTTCCCATTCAAGTCATTTCTGACTTTATCTTGAAGTTTTCTTGGCAAGATTTGTTTAGGGGGAATTTGCTATTGCCTTCCTCTGAGAACGCTATATTTTGACTATTCATAGACCCGAGAACCTAGGGAGGCCCACAAATACTTCCATGTGTGCTCCTCTCTAGGTACTAAGTATTATTCTGAGGTATCCTTGGCCCAGAAGAATACCATAGATCAATACTGGAGAACCTAGATAGGCTCACAAAATACTGGATATCAAAACCATAAATAAGAGAGTTTGATTATGATTGGCCCAAAGTCACCTGGTGAGTTTCCATAGTTAAACAAGGCTTTGAACCATGGTCTCTCAGAGTCCTAGTTCAACTACACCATGCTGGTCCTCACAAATGGTACAAGGACATATGAGCATATCTACATCATGTTACTTTACAATAATAAAGAGGAGAAGTCTCAGCTTCAAGGACATACAGTCTAAAAACAGGGTGGGGGGGGGGAATAACTGAGAAAGGGGAGAGAAATAAAGCAGGGAAAGAGAGAACAACATCTTGTTAGTTCAGCCATACCAACTTCAGGCTTTGTTATGACAGAGCAACCTTTTGCAACCTGGCTTCCAACAAACATTTTGGGTGGTAACTTTAATCATTCCTAACCATTAGCCAACATTGACAGCAGTGAGGCTAGCCTAGCGATTATGATAATAACAATAACAATAATATTTATTTATTTCTAACCCACACCTATCTCCCTGAAGAGACTCAGCACGGCTTCCAAATGTAACATAAACATGATGGGAGTTGTAGTACAACCTATAAGGTTGTTGCAAAGATTTCAAAAAAAAGGTTGTGCATTAGGAAACTCAAAAAATCCTTGAGTAAAACATATGAATAATCTCTCATGGTTTTTCTTGGCAAGGTTTGTTCAGAGGAGCTTTTCCATTGCCTGTGTTCGGCTGGGAGAGTGATAATTACCCCTAAAATGGGTCCTTTGGCTGGGCTAGAATTTGAATTTTGATCTGTTAGGGTGCATCTATTCTAGAATTACTGCAGTTTGACACTACTTTAGCTGCCATGGCTCAATGTTATGAAGTCCTGTGCTTTGTAGTTTGGTGATGCACCAGCATTCTTTGGAAGACAAAGCTAAAAAACTTGTAAAGCTTCTATTCCCAAAATTCCACAGCATTGAGTCATGACAGCTAAAATGGTGTCAAACTGCACCTTCTACAGTATAGATGCACCTTAGGTTATAAATTCATTACTGAAATGACTCTTGCTGTGACCTTCTTGAGTTCCCATGGGGAGAAAGGCAGAGTATAAATAAATAAATAAATAAATAATTCTGCAATACTGTATACTAGCAAATATACAATTATTTTTACCTTAACTTTTCTTATCTTTTCAATTCTATGTAGCTCTTAGTTGTATCTTTTCT